TCATTTGTGTCCACCTGCAAACAGCTAGAGTCCTTGTGGTTTTAGATTATTCCGCTGGAGTTTTCCTAATGACCCAGTGGGTAAAGACCTGACTCAGCGCATCACTAAAATGGGAATTTCAATGTCTAGATTGCACTCGCTGATCTCAGCCAGGATAGTGGTTCTGCAATTGGACTCAGTGCTCCTGAGGTAGGAAAGAGGAAAATCAACCAGGGCTCCTGTTTTACCCAGAGAACTTTGATGGAAAATGCAAATGCATTTGAGTCGGGTGAGGATGAGATGTGGGAGGGGGTGATACCAACACCTCTAGTGATGGCCTGTAGCAGTGGTAGACTGGAATTCTAGTGCTCCCTTTGCTGAGGCTGGATTCCCTCGGTCTGTGCACTTAAAGGTTAAGACCAAAGAAAAAAATTAAATTCAATCTTTAATTGCTTTTAAATTGCCGTTTTTCACAATTCGTAAAAATAATCCCCCAGCCAATCGCACACAGCAGTGTCCCACAAACGTGGATTGAATGACCAAATTATTATTATTATTTTTCATTTTTTTAAAGGGATTATTACCCCCGGAGAGTGATCCGCCAATTGACAAACAACAGGTTCCGACTTACTGTTAGGTATAAACAGAGGGGTGTGTGTGGAGTAAGGAAACTTGCCCAACGTTTCGCCCTGCCCGAGAATCAAACCCAGGTACTCTCGCTGGCGAGGCGAGTGCTCTAACCACAAAGATTCAGGACTCCATTATGGGAATGTTTCTTGAACTGTCGGAAAATTTACTGAGTTATCTGATAGTATCTGCTTTCTCCCCCACCTGCACCCCCCTAGGACTGACATTCTGTGTAAAGTTTGTGAAGCGATTTTGCAATCCATGTTTATACCAGGGAAAATTGTACTCCAGGCCAACATTGTCAATGCTGCTATATGGAACTCCGAGCAGAATTCCAGTCTTAAGCCCCGGAAATATACAGAGGGTGGGCTGGAGAATCCATGCTATCTTTGTTCGGTAATGTCTATGCTCTGCTCTCTGGGTCTCCCCATAAGCAGTGTTTAAAATGGGAGTGTGTTCAAATACAGTGAACCAGCACTTATTTCTAGCTATTTACAGTACCGTAGTAGGTTTGGATGGCAGTCTAAAGAACCTTCCATAAGCAAACGGGAAGCTCTATGGCATAGTTTTTATTTAACCTAATTTTAATGAATGTCAATTATATAGACTTTATTTTATGCATGTACAGATGTAAGACTTGATTTTGAGCTATTATTAAGCATTTGCATCTATATTAAGTGTGTGGCCTGCGAAGCTTACCAAAACTCATCAAGTGGCCCAACAGCCAAAATAATTGCCCATCCCTGCTCTATGCACAAAGGGTATCAACTGGAAGTTTATAGTCAGTTGCAGTGGGATTCTTGCCATCATCAAAAGTAATAGGCTTATAGCTTTTAACAATCACTTCGGGATTGTTACAGTGTAGGAAAGGGTTGCTATAGAGTGCACAGGATGGCAATGAGTAACCAACCTTAAGCATTGATGTGATTACTGCGTGCCTGAGTGAAGGAGAGCATTTTAACCTCTAGTCTGAATCTACCCACTCCCTTCTACATGTATAAGTAATCTAATAATGCCTGACTCAAATGTCATAAGACAGACTGACTGAAACACACAGGACCCTGGTCAGCTCCCAGCTTCTTCTATCTCTTCCATTTAGATGCCACATTGCCAAATTTAGAAGCCACATTTGCTTACAAATACACAGTACTGCATTTTAGAGTGAGCGAGCGCGAGAAAGAGATAGATAGATAGCAAATAACTTAAATAATAACAGTAAATTCAGCAACCAGTAGTCCAATAAAGTGATCTATGAGCCAGAAATCCAATTTTGCAGTCCTTCACTGGAGCAATCCAATCTCATCTTGATTCCTTGCTTCCTACTCATTCTATTTTATTATTATATATTGTCCCTCACACAGAAATCCTTTGGAAGCTTTTCTTAGAAAGAAACTCCCTGTTGTTTAGTCAAGCTGTAGCTGTTTCCTTCAACTCAGTGGTACAGCAGCAGAATAGTTGTTTTACCAGACATCTGCGCATCAAAGGATGCCAAACCTCCAATCTGCCTGCCGCTTGGGCACTAAATGTTATCGTGTCTCTGCTGAGCCAAATGGCGTTGGTGGGGAAAGGGAGAGGAATAATGGTACACAGGGGATTGATGAGGTGGAAATGGAATCGGTGGAATGCAACAGCAGGAATGAAGTGGTGAGAACGAAATAAAGGGGAATGAAAACGAGGGAATGAAATGGTGGAAAATTAGATAATTACAGTTGATGCAGCTGATGCAACTCCTTACCATAAGAAAATATCTCAAGGCTCTTCATAAAGTTTAAAATGGGACCATAAAATGTAGTGATTGTGTATTTGTAAGCAAATGTGGCAGCGGATTTGCACACACCAATATCCCACAAAGAGTCATGAATTGAATTATTTTTCATCTTGGGAAATGTTGACCAGGACACAGGGAGAAACTCCCTTCTCTTTTCAAATTGTCTCATTGAATCCTGGTATACCACATTGCTGGGTAGTGTGGGTCCATATTTTATTTTTATAATTTATTGCAATATGACATTTATTGACAGGTGCAAAGTGAAATCTGTTAAGAAGCATTGCCTGATTTCAGCTACTACTAAAATGAGGCTGTGTGATAAAATACCCTGTGTCCTTGGGGACAACCAGAGTTGATTAGTACTTAACCAAGGTCAGGACGTAACTTCCTAAGAGGCAATAAACTAAACTCTTTTCCCGGATAATTACTAATCGCATCAGCAATTTATTGTTCAGTTATAACAGAAGCCAGTGGAAAGTGTGTGATGGGTGAAGCGTTTTTGTCCATACACTGCACATGTTAATGGGAAAGCAGCCTGAACTTAGGGAACACAGAGTCCATTATTGGACTGTTAGTACACTACAGAATCAGGGTGGTGCTATAAATCAAAGTCAAACTCAAATAGTTTGTGTCACCTTAACCCAAGAATGTGCTCCGACCCTGAAAACACTACTTTTTTTTCATATTGAGTACTTCAGTATTTCTTTTAACCTTTTACAAGCTTTCCTTCCATAAAGGAGAGTTTGTTTTGCATCGCTTGATGTTGTAAGGATGAAGTTGTTGCCACAGGTTGCTTTGCCTTTTGCAACAGAGGTGAGCAATGTTAGCAGTGGCATTCCCTTTCTCTCCATCTGTTCATGTGGATTTTAAAGAGCTTACTGGACTATTCGAAAAGAGAAAGGCGTTTCACCTGGTGTCCTGGCCAACATTAGGCCAAAAAACAAAGGTTAGCTATTCACTTCATGGCTGTTTATGGGACATTGATGTGCACAAATTGGCTGCTGCATTTACCTACAAATACACAGTCATTATAATTTATTGTAAAATTCTGCAAAAAGCTTTGAGATGTCTCTATAATTTGATGAGCACTACATCAAATGCAACAACAACAACAAAATTACATTTGTAAAGCGCCTTTCACGTCGGGAGGATATCCCAAGGTGCTGGACAGACAGAGTTATGGACCCGAGCTGGGGGTTGGGGTGTGAGAGGGTGGAGGGCAGGGGGAGGAACAACAACTACAAAATTACATGTATAAAGCATCTTTCATGTCAGGAGAACGTCCAAAAGCACTGGACAGTCAGGGGTCAGAACCCAAGAATAGGGGAGGGGTGGGGTAGGGGTGAGGGAAGGCAGAGAGGTGGGAGGGCGACCGGAGGCACAATCGAAGAAGAGTCTTGAGACCGGCCTTGAAGGAGGCAAGGGAGGAAGCGAGGTGAAGGGACTGTGGGATGGAGTTCCAGAGTGTGGGGGCAGAGAGGCTGAAAGACCGGCCACCGATAGTAAGGCAGGTCGGGCGGGAGATATGAAGCAGACCGGAGTCTACCGAACGGAGGAAGCGGGCAGGTTGGTAGGGAGTCAGCAGGTCGGAGAGGTAGGAGGGGGCAAGGCCATGTATGCCTTGAAAGTGAGGACGAGGATCTTGAATTTGAACCTCTGAGGGGAGCCAGTGGAGTCAGGCGAGGGTGGGAGTGATAGGGTCATGGAGGTGCACGAGAGTACACGAGCTGCAGAATTTTGGATGATCTGCAGCTTGTGAAGGGAAGAGTTGGGAAGGCCGATGAGGAGGGAGTTTCCGTAATCGAGCCTTGATGTGACAAATGCGTGGGTGAGGGTTTCGGCAGCCTGAGGGGTGAGGCAGTGGCAGAGTCTGGCAATGTTGCGGAGTTGGTGGTAGGCAGTGCCGCTCAGGGCGTGGATATGGGGGAGAAAAGACAGTTCAGGGTCAAACAAGATACCCAGGTTCCTGACTGGCTTTGTGAGGTTGAGTGTGCAGCCATGGATGCTGATGCTGCCAGCGCCCGAGGTGTGGAGGGGCTGGCGTGAGCCAATCAGGAGTGCCTCGGTCTTGCCGACGTTGAGTTGTCTTTTCTTCCCCACATCCAAGCCATGACCCGCTCTGCCTTCCCTCACCTCCGTAAAATCGCCCGACTCTGCCACTACCTCACCCCTCAAGTCACTGAAATTTTTGTTCATGCCTTCATCACCTCCAGGCTCGAGTATGCAAACTCCCTGCTTGTCGGCCTTCGCAACTCCTCCCTCCACAGGCTGCAGATAATCCAGAACTCTGCAGCCCATGTCCTTTTCCGCACCGAACTCCTTGACCCCATCTCCTCCATTCTCACCCGACTCCATTGGCTCCCTGTCCTTCAGAGTATCCAGTTCAAGATCCTGGTCCTCACCTACAAAGCTCTCACTGGCCTCGCCCACCCTACCTCTACGACCTCCTAACCCCCTACCAACCCGCCCGCTCCCTCCGCTCAGCCGGCTCCGGCCTGCTCCACGTCCCCCGACCCACCACTGGTGGGAGAGCCTTCAGCCACTCTGCCCCCAACCTCTGGAATTCCATCCCCCAATCACTCCGCCTCGCCCCCTCCTTAGCCTCCTTCAAGTCCCGCCTCAAGACCCTCCTCTTCGACCATGCCCTCTTTCCCTTCCCTCCCTTCTCCCCCCCCTGACCCCAGCTTGGGTCTGAAATGCTGTACACTGTCCATCGCCTTGGGATGTCCTCCCGACGTGAAAGACGATATAGAAATGAAATGGTTTTGTTGTTGTTGTCGTGATGGTGACATCTGAGATGCTGAAGCCCTGGGTGATCATCAGGTCAAGCGGGTGGCCGTGAACACAGAGTGGATGTGAAGGAAGAGGTTGAGAGAGGAGAGTAGAAGTCTGAGGAGGTAGAGCAGGAGGGGGTGAAGTGGAGGTTGAAGTCGCCCAGGATGATGAGGCGGTCGGAGCAGAGGCAGCGGGAAGGGAGCCGCTGGAGTGGGAGAATAGGGCAAGTGACGCCCTGGAGATGAGGGCTACCCCGCCGCCACGGCAGTTGGGGTGTTGGGCATGGTAGTAGGTGTAGCAGGGTAGTGTGGCCTCAGTGAGGGGGAAGGTGTCACCTGGGGGGTTTCCAGGCTTCTGTGAGGGCCATAATGTCAGTGTTCTCATCGAGGATGAGTTAATTGATGGCCAGGATCTTGTTGCAGATGGAGCAGATGGAGCATTGAAGGCCAATGCGGAGTGGACAGTTGGCAGGGGGATGTGTGGGATGGGAGGAGATAGTGGATTGGTTGGCAGGGAGGGTGGGGATGCGGATGAGGAAGGAGGTTAGCCCCCGGGGTCTGGGTCCGAGGTGGCTTGTGGCGGTGATGGGGAATGGGGCAGTCGGAAGCAGGGAAATTGAAAGCACAGTTGAAGAGGAGAGTCTTGAGGTGGGTCTTGAAGGTAGTGAGGGAGGGGACGAGATGGAGGGATTGCATGATGGAGTTCCAGAGGGTGGGTGCAGAGTGGCGGAATGCCCGCCCGCCATAGTGGGGTGAGCAAGACGGGGGACGTGAAACAGGCCAGGGCCCGCTGAGCAGAGGGAGCGAACAGGGTGGTAGGGGGTTAGGAGGTCGGAAAGGTAAGGGGAAACAAGACCGTGGAGGGCTTTGAAGGTGAGGACCAGGATCTTGAACTGTATTCTTTGTGTGATGGGAAGCCAGTGGAGTTGGGCAAGGATGAGGGTGATAGGGTCGCAGAGCCTAGTGTGGGAGAGGACACGGACTGCAACATTCTGAATGATCTGCATCTTGGAGGAGTTGGGGAGGCCAACAAGCAGTGAGTTCGCATAGTCAAGCCTTGATGTAATGAAGGCGTGTATGAGGATTTCGGTGGCCTGCGGAGTGAGACAGTGTTGGAGCCGGGCGAAATTGTGGAGCTGGGGGAAGGCAGAGCGGGTCATGGCGCAGATGTGGAGTAGACACGATAGCTGAGGCTCAAACAAGATGCTAAGGTTCCTGACTGGCTTAGTCAGGTAGAGTGTGCAACCATGGATGGTGATGCTGTCAGCGCCTGAGGTGTGGAGGTGCTGACGGAAGCCAATCAGGAGGTCTCAGTTTTGTTGACGTTTAACTGAAGAAAGTTAGCTCTCATCCAGGAATTGATGTCTGACAGACATTCAGTCAGGACAGCAGTAGTCCTGGAGTCAAGGGTGGGGGCAGAGAGGTACAGTTGAGTGTCATCCGCATACATGTGGAAGTTGACCCCATGTCTGTGGATGATGTCACCAAGAGGCAGCATATAGATATTGAAGAGGAGGGGACCAAGGACAGAGCCCTGAGGAACCCCACACGAGAAGTGCGGAGGCTAGAGGAGAAACCGTTTGAGTAGATGAAGTGCAGGCGGTGTGAGAGGTACGATCTGAACCAATCGAGGACAGCACCGTGAGGTTGAGGCAAGAGTAGCAGAGAGGTCAAGGAGAATGAGGAGGCAGAGGGAGCCCTGGTCGCAGATGGACAGAATGTCATTTGTCATTTTGACCAGGGCTGTTTCTGTGTCCTGGGCGGCACAGAAGCCCGATTGGAGGGGTTTGAGAAGGGAGTGGCGGGAGAGGAAGGAGCGAAGCTGAGAAGCAAATCAAGAGAGCCTCGGTCTTGTTGATGTTCAACTGAAGAAAGTTGGCTGTCATCCGCATACATGTGGAAGTTGACCCCATGTCTGCGGATGATGTCACCAAGAGGGACCATATAGATATTGAAGAGGAGGGGACCAAGGACAGAGCCCTGAGGAACCTCACACGAGACTATGCAGGGGCTAGAGGAGAAGCCATTTGTGAAGATTAAGTGGGGGCGGTGTGAGAGGCACGATCTGAACCAGTCAAGGACAGAACCGTGAAGGTTGAGGTCAGAGGAGAGACGGTGGATGAGAATAGAGTGGTTGACTGTGTCGAAAGTTGCAGAGAGGTCAATGAGGACGAGGAGGCAGAGGAGCCCTGATCACAGATGGACAGAATGTCATTTATCATTTTGACCAGGGCTGTTTCTGTGCTGTGGGCGGCACAGAAGCCCGATTGGAGGGGTTTGAGAAGGGAGTGGCGGGAGAGGAAGGAGCGAAGCTGAGAAGCAACAACTCATTCCAGGAGGCAGTTAGGGAGTAGAGAAGGGACCAGGAGGGTTTTTTAAGGATAGGAGTGATGACAGCAGTTTTTAAAAGGATGGGAACAGTACCAGAAGACAGGGAGAGGTTTACGACGTCAGCGAGTAGAGGATAAAGGCAAAGATTATTATTACTATTATTATCTCATCTACTTTTTTGTCCCCATGAGCGTTGTATTATTGGAGGTGCCAGCCTTCGGAGCGGAGGCGAATAGCTCATTTTCCTGTTGAGGTGGATGTTAAGGATGCTGTCACGTTTCTCAAAAAGAGCAAGAAGTTTCTCTTTTGTTCTGGCCATCAATCATCAAGATAAATTGGTCATTCACCTCCTTGCTGTTTCTGGGTCCAGTGTTTGGGTACAAATACAGTCACTGCAGTCTGCAGTTACCTGTCCAGCTATTTGTGACATCTGAACATAAGAAGGCCCAGTATAATAATCCTTGCATTTGCTATAGAACTCTATCAACTCAGAAGGATGTCTCAAAGCACGTCAACGGAATTACTGTGAAATTGACCGGCTGTGTACTGGAAGGCAAACATAGCAGCAAAATTGCACACAACAATGTCTCACAAACAGCTTTTGATCATCTTCGATTCCCACCCCCAACTTGGGTCCCCAGCTAGCAATGAACAATAACAACTTGCATTTATATAGCACCCTTCAAACAGGCAGCATCTTGGAGTGCAGTGTTAAGTATTTTGAGATGTCTTCCCGAAGTGAAAGACTCCATATAAATGCAATTGTACTGTATTGCCCCAGTTATTTTAGGCACTGGATTATTGAAGAATTACAGTCATTCTCAATGATTGAAGCAGTGAAGGAGTCACTAAAGTCTCCTGAATGCTGCACTAAAACTTTAATATGATCTGTACAAAACAATTACTGGTGATGTAAGTCAAAGCAGGCTGGAATTGAAGGAATATACAAGGAAGGTTCGCTCGTAAAACACAGTCACTCCACAGTATATCAACAACAACAAGATTACATTTGTATAGCGCCTTTCACGTCGGGAGGACGTCCCAAGGCGCTAATCCTGTGAAACACTTTGACACTCCCCACCCAATTCCCCCTCCCACTCACCTCAACCCCTACCCCTGTCAGCTCCCACCCCCAACTAAGGTGGAAATGCTCGACTGTCCTTTTGATGTGAAAGGCACCATACCACATATAAGGATTATTAGTACACTCATTTGTAGGGGAAATGCATCCACAAATAGAGTAATTGCACTAAACAGCAATTACGTATAGTGCTTTAAGACTTTTTGACATTATAGATGCTATGTCAAATGGAAAGATTATTAATATTTAATGTTTAAATACAGTTAACTATAAGACCACTGTATAACCAAGAATTACAACTAGTACAGGAGTCATTCAGCATAATAAATAGACTTGTGTTGCTCTCTGCTGGATGGCTGCTGAAATACGTGATAGACAACTTATCTTGGTTAGAGAATACAATAGTCTGATTTGTACTCACCAATTTGGTTCTTGAATTAGGAGCAAGGATAAACAATACATAAATACACAATCCCTGCATTTAGTATAGCACCTCTCACATTCTCAAAATCCTTCACGGAATTTATTGTCAAGTGTAGTGACTGTGTATTTTGTAATGAACCATGTCAGGAGGCCGCATTAGGCATTTTGCTCATGGCGGGTATTTTTTCTTCTTTTAAAGAAAACATTTAGATTTTTCACTTTAAACAGTAACCTATACATACACATGTTCATGGAGTCCTAGACTTCAAATAATGCATTACAGGTCTCAAAGCCTGATTCCATTCCTGACTCTCTAAGGGGCAAATGTACTCTCTGCTAACAACCTTTATGTATAAGATTCAGAATTCTGCTCTCTGAGGAAAAGCAGGCACTCAAGGCCCTTTCAGCCATTATTTTCAGTACTGTATTTGTAATGTCAGACTGGCTCAGTTGGTGACACTCATCTCTGAGTCAGAAGGTTGTGGGTTCAAGCCCCATGTCAGGACATTGTGGTCACAGTCTAAGGAGTGCTGCATTTGTTAGAAGTGCCATCCTTCAGATTAGATGTTTTTTTAAAAAAAAGTCTCGTTTGCCTGTTCAGGTGGACGTTAAATCCCACTATTCAAAAGTGTGGTGTCCTAGCTAGTAATCACCAGATAAAAATTGGTATTTTATTTCATGATTGTTTGGGGTACATTACTGTGTAGAAATTGGCTGTCACGTTTGCCTACAAAAATACACAGCGACTACACTTTATAGTAAATCCTATGAGGTGCTTTGAGACAATTTCCTAACGGGAAAAGAGCAGCATTAAATGAAAAGATTATTATTACTGACACAGACTAGTTGGGTCGAATGGCCTGTTTCCATGCTCTACCATTCTAAGCATCTTTACAAGCACTTGCAGAGTTGTCAAGTGCCTATTGGTGGTGCTGTTGTGCTGGTGGAAGGCAATTGAACACTTTCTGACAGCATTGAGCCCCAGTATCGCTGGCTTAAACGATTTACGACATCAAACTGTTTCTTCAATTAATTCAATGTTCTGGTAGCCTGGTGCAACTGCCAATTACCTCTGAGAACTTCCTTGTGTCTGCCTTAAATTTGCCCATCACAACTCTAAACATGTGCCTTCTTGTCCTGACCCCTTGTGGCATAACTAAAAATATATTCCCAGTTGTCCTTTCTTTATCCCATTGTGCATCTCTATACCCTCAATCAAGATTATATAAGTAAAAGAGGAGATCATTATCAAATGCTAGATGGATCTTGGTAGGACAGTGGATGGCAACAGCAGATCAAGTAATCCATTTGCCAGCTGTGCCAACTCTCTCCTTGATGTGTACAATAACTCACCAAACACATAATATACTGTAAACAAAACACAAAATCCTGCAAATGATGTCACCTTTCACGCCAGAGCAACTGAAAAGTCTTAATTTTTCCTCAACCAAGGATTCCCATCCACTGTAGTAGGCAGGGCCCTTGACCGTGTTTACCCTATTTCCCGCAACTCTGCCCTCACCCCTTCCCCTCTTCTCAGCACCGTGATAGGGTACCCCTGGTCCTCATTCTCCACCCCACCAGCCTCAACATCCAACAAATTATTCTCCAGTGTGACCCAACTACTAAACATATCTTTCCCTCCCCTCTCAGCATTACGAAGGGACCTTTCCCTCCGTGATTCCCTGGTTCAATCCTCCATCACCACCAACAGTTCCTCTGCTCCCCCCCCGGCACCTTCCCATGCCAGCGCAGGAGATGCAATCTCTACCCTTTTACCACCTCCCTCCCATATTATCATTATACCACTGTCCATGGCCCCAAACACAGATTTCAAATGAGACAGTGATTTACATGTACTATCACCAATGTAGTTTACTGCATTCACTGCTCACGATGTGGTCTCCTCTACATTGGGGAGACCAAACCCAGATTGGGTGACCGATTTGCCGAACGCTTCCATTCTGTCCGCAGGCACAACCCTGAGCTTCCAGTTTCTTGCCATTTCAACTCTGCCTCCCACTCTGACCTCTCCATCCATGGTGTCCTTCACTGTTCCAATGAGCCACAACGCAAGCTCGAGGAACAACCCCTCATTTATCTGCTAGGGACCTTACAGCCCTCTGGTCTGAATGTTGATTTCAATAATTTCAGACCATAACAGCTCACCTTCTCCCTCCTCCTCTTCTGTGACCATTACTACATCATCTGGGTCCCAGACACACTTTTCTCTCCCTGATCTGCCTGTTTTGCTGCAAATTCTTCACCTCCCCCCTTTGTTCTGCAGTATTAACACCTCTGTTCTCCTGCTTTGTTGCAATCCCCACTTTGTTTGGCATCATTAACACCTCTTTAACTCATCATCCCCTGTCCTCTACCCCATTTTCTCCTTTGTCTTCCTTGCCCTGCCTCCCCTCACTCTGTTAGCCCTTAAAAGCCTCTCCTTCCCAACATGTATGCCCCAGTTCAGAGGAAGGGTTGTGGACCTGAAACATTAACTCACCATAGATGCTGCCTGACTTGCTGAGTGTTCCCAGCGACTTCGATATTTGTTTACATAATATACTGTATTACAATGAAAACATTATAGAAGAAATTGTGAAAATTGTTACAGTCATTTATTCGTAAGTTTAGAAAAAAACACATGAAGATTTTAATGTTTCATTGAAGTTGTTTCCTGTCCCTCTGTTGTCAGCAGTGTTGACTTGGCACCTACACTATACCGGTGGTAATTATCACATAGCAGATCATGCAGTTAAACCAGTTAGGGCTCTCGGCTCCAAGTCACAAGGTTGTGGGTTTAAACCCCAAGTTGGGACTTTGAACTCACACAAACCGACACTCTAATGTAGTTCCAGTAGATATTAAAGATCCCATGGCATTATTCTAAAAGAGAAGGGAGTTTCTCCCGGTGTCCTGGCCAACAATCTCCCTAATAAAATTAGTTGTGTGGCTGTTTGCGGGACATTGCTGCATGCAAATTGGGGGCTGCTTTCACTTACAAAGTACTGTAAGTGCATTTTGCAGTATATCCTATAAAGAGCTTTAAGATGTCTTCCCGGAGTGAAAGGATCTATATCAATTGTAAGAATAATTATTTATTTATCACTAATAATTATTGGCTTGTAGGAATTCGCCATTCCTGACTTCAGCACAATTGTCGAGTCGCACCACTTTAGAGGTAAATTCTCCTGATGTGAAATGCACTATATGAAAAAACAGCAACAACAATAAATGTTTGCATTTACCGAGCACTTTTCATATCAGGAAGGCATCCCAAGGCTCCAGGCAGTTCAGGCTTTGCACCCAAGCTGGGGGGTGGTAACTGGGGAGGTTAGGGGTTGAGGGGGTTGGGGGTGGAAAAAGATGACTGAAGACGTGGTCAAAGAAGAAGAACTTGAGGTTGACCTTGAAGAAATTGAGGGAAGAGACTCTTGAATGGAGTTCCTGAGAGTTGGGACAGATAAGCTGAAAGCCTGACCATCAATGGTGGGGTGAGTAAGGTGGCGGGGTGGGGAGGGGAAAGAGGGGATGAAACAGGCTGGTGGCTGCAGAGCAGAGGTAATGGGTGAGTTTGTAAGGTTTCAATAAATAGGGTTGGGTAAGCCCATGGATGTCATCAAATGTAATGATTATTACTATATATTGTAATTATCACATCCCGCGTTGTTTTTTTATCTCTCTAAGGTCCGTGTTGTAACTCACATGGAATCAACATATCCACCCGTTAGCCTGAGAGCCTGATAAAGCAGGCTTCATTTGCACAGGTCAAGTGCTCATTTCCATCAATCAGGACACTATCATGAGAATGATCTCAACTAACATTTCATCGGATGGCTTCACTCCCCATCCCCGGCCTAAAGTTAAAATGCAGTCGGCTGGAAAATTTTGCATTAGCAACTGATCTGTAACCAAACAAGGTTAAAGCCTGGAGCAATTGTACATTGGCTGATCAAAACCAAGCTTTCATTCACTTTATTGAGACCAGTCATTGAGCTATCATAACCTCTGTGTGCTCCTTCTTGCCTCTGGCTTCTGCATACCTTTGTTCTGACAATCAAATAATCCAAACCAAGGGATGCAGAGACTATAAATTGTATTTCTTTGAAATCCAAGTCTATTGGAAATGTTCAAGATCTCTGTGAATGCATGGAGATGATTTTGAGTAGTATTTTCTAAAACATTGCAAGTAGATTTCAGAGGATCTTTCCCAAGTGTGTAAGAAAAAATTCTTAATACATTGAATAGAGCAGAGATAGCATACATCCAGTTATCTTCAATCCCCTTGCATCACTGGGTGAAAGTAAATCCAATATGGTGAGGGGGAGGAATGCAGCAATCACTGGTGATAATTATTACATCAACCAAAATGCATTCAGAAAAACAGTGGTCTTGTTGATGTCACACTGTTGACCACTCTGTCCTCCTCCACCACCTCTCCTTTCACCACACCCTTCATGGTTTATCCTTGACCGGTTCAGATCCTACCTTTCACACCGTCTCCACAAATTGCTTCTGCTCGAGCCCTCGCACAATCTTGCGCGGCATTCTTTAGAGCTCGGTCATTGATCCTCTCCTCTTCAATATCTATATGCTCCCTCTTGGTGACATCATCCACAGACATGGGGTCACATGTACATGGATGACCCCCAACTGTACCTCTCTGCCTCCACCCTTGACTCCAGGACCACTGCTGTCCTGGCAGAATGTCTGTCAGACATCAAGTCCTGGATGAGAGCGAACTTTTTCCATAACATAACATGTAGGAGCAGGAGTAAGCCATTCGGCCCTTCGAGCCTGCCCCACCATTCAATCATGGATGATCTTCTAATCTAACTCCAGCTAATAACCTGACCCTGCCTTATCCCCATATCCCTTAATCCCTTTCGCAATAAGAAATCTATCTATCTCAGTCTTGAATATGTTCAAGGACTGAGAGTCAACAGCCCTTTGGGGTAGCGAGTTCCATACATCCAGCTGAACATCAACAAGACCGAGGCCCTCCTGATTGGCTCCCGTCAACGCCTCCACACCTCAGGTACTGACAGCATCACCATCCATGGATGCACACTCCACCATTCATGGATGCACAAGTCCAAATCCCTTATTGTCCAGCACCTTGGATATGCTTCCGATGTGAAAGGTGCTTTACAAATGTAATTTGTTGTTGTTGTTGTGGTGATGTGCTAATGTCACTTCCTGCTTTGCTGCACACGTGCACTACATGCAGGAAGCACTGCTGATGTCACCTACTGAAGGAAGTGACATCAACTGTGCTTCTCACACAAGCGTAGCACCCAGCAAGTTACATCAGTCATGACCTGATGACCTAGAAGTTGGCCATTTTTCGCGTTTTGCCCGAGACAGTGGTCCAGACAATCGCCTTATAACAGGTTGCCTGCGAGTTAGAACCTATAAACGTTTATCCACGGCTTGTGACTTTCCTAAAATTTGGAAGAGTAGTTTCAAGATTCCTTCACGCATACGAAACTGAGAATTAATTGAGCAATTCTAATCCTTTAACAAGATGGCTAGGGACTAAACTACCCGAGAGAATGCACTGAAAATAATAGTGGAATTTTATAAATTATTCTACGTGGAAATATCCCAATTGATTAAATTTTCTCACAGAGCCGAATAGAAATCTCATCCAAAGTCTTTACAAGATCTGAAAAAACAGAAAAATAGAGCAGCTACACCCGAGCTCATCATTGCTTTTAAATGATGCAACCAACACACAAGCATTGCCATAGACACTGTATTCTCCTCCTATTGTTGGTTTGCTATAGAGATTTATAACCTTGTGCTGGTAAATGCCACTCTCAGTTGGACAGAACTCCCACAAAGATTTTAAAATATTCATGCTAGTGTTTTCATGTCACTGCCTTGATGCAGAGCTGTGGTAACTTTGATGCTGTGAATTGAGAATCCGATAAATCTGAATGTAGGTGTCTCTCTTGCCTTGGCTCCAAAACACTAATTCTGAAAGTGTCAGAGATAAACTGGTGTGAATTGTGATGCAGTAATTAATGCTTATGTGATAATTAATACGTGCAGTGAATTTCGTGACCTTAAAATAATTAACATATCGCCTAGATCTGAAGAGGACTCACTCCTCAATGCTCTTCTTAGTGACCATACCAAATAACTGACTATGCCACACATTGGATTTCCTGTTATCAGCACGCAGTATTGGATTGATGGCCAAGAATCCCCCAGTGTTGTTTTGTTAAAAGTTTTAGTTTACATGCACTTATATAGCGCCCCTCATGCAGGGTAGCGCCCCAGAGTACTTGACAGTGGCGGAGCACGATGTTGAGCCAGGAGGGAGGTGGAGGTGACTGTAAGCACGGTCGAAGAGGAAGGTCTTCAGGCACAACCTGAAGATGGGAAAGGAAGAGGCAAGATGGAGGGATAGAGGAAGAGTGTTCCAGATTTTCGGGGCGTATTGGCTGAAAGTGTGGCTACTGATGGTGATATGGAGGGCACGAGGGTCATGCAGAAGGCTGGAGCCAGTCAACCGGAGGGAGTGGGTAGTGGGTGGCGAAGTAGATAGACCTTGGTCTTCTTTCGCCAAGCAAATTCTTATGTTCTTATGTGAATGATCAATTATTATCTGTTGGCCAGGAAACTGGAGAAACATCTTTCTCTTTTCAAACCGTGTCAGGCATCTCTAATGTCCACCTGAACAGGCAAGAGAGAACCTGGGTTTAATGTGTCATCTGAAGTACTACACCTCCGACAATGCAGCCCTCCCCCAGCACTGCTGTCTGGTGTCAACCTAGACTGTGATTTTAAATGTGGTACGTGAATTGAGTGTGATTGTATCCTTTCAGAAAACCTACTGTCTTCCCATCACAGCATTAAGTTCTTAAATTGGTCCAGCATCCTGGCTTCAACCACCCTTCCTGATAACCTGTTCCAGCTGTTGATTAATATTGTAAAAATATACTTCTTAGTGTTTCTTCTAAATTACCATTCGCAAACTTCAGTTTGTGACCTGATGTCCTGCTGTCTTGGTATATTGGTCTAATTTTACAGTTCTAT